TTCCTTATGATCCGACGCCACAAGACCACCATTTTCACGGACGCCAAGGAGTCGAGTACCGTGTTTGAGCTGAAGCGTATCGTCGAGGGCATTCTTAAGCGGCCTCCTGACGAGCAGCGGCTGTACAAGGTGCGGCCCCGCTGGTTTCAGGCGGGCGGGGGCCGGGCAAGGGCCTGGGCTGGGGCTGGGGGCGGGCGCTGCCCAGAACCTGAGCCTGGCCGTGGGCTCACAGCGATCGCGTCGTTGATGTAAACAGTGGCGGCCGCCGCGGGTCGAATTCGCCTCGTGGAGCCGTTGTTGGGACTCGGGAAGATGAAGCGCCGATAGCGCTCGCTACACGGGAGGTATGGACTAAGGATGGCATTAAAATCGCCCTCCAGGCCCTGTGCTGAGTGCAGAGGGCCAGCGTCGCATCTGATCCCTACAACGGCCCCCTGGCAACGTGCTGGCTCTTGACATCGTTGCTATGTAGTTAAGGAAACTGAGGTTCGCGAGGTGGCCACTTAACAGCCAAGATTTGATCCCGGTGCCCGTAATCTTCTGTAGGCCCATCAGAATCACACTGCACCCCCCCCCCCCAACCCCGACACTCTTTGATGCAAAGAAAGGGAGAGTGTCAGGATGAGTCAGTTTTTGCCAGTTCTTCACCTAACAACTATAAGTCCCCAACTTGCCGATGCTCTAAAAGCCTGCCTCCCTGTTCACTGCTTAGGAACTGGCTGTAGTTACCCATCAAGGATAGCTTGGGAGTTTGGGTTTTCTCTGGGGAATCGGTGTGTCAACCCTTGATTGAAGTTTCTGGCAGTGGGAGGTCTCTCACCTAAGTGCATTGATTTAATTTTTGGCTGGAAACTAGAAAACTGATCTTTCACTCTCCCTTGGTCTCTAAAGGCCTTTTCTTCCTGATACATACTGGGGCTTCCCTGATAAGGACCCTTCCCACTGGCTGTGCTATTCCTTCACTCACTGAAACAACCCAGCTACCCTGTGAGTTGGGAATTCCAATAATTCTCATTTTACAGTTAAGGAAATTTCACATCAAAAAGATAACTGTCCAAGGGGCAAAGCTAGGATTCAAAAATTCAAACCAGGTCTACCTGTGGCCAGGTTGGGTCACTGGCTCTTCACTTGCAGTTCAGGCTGGGGTGGGGGGTGGGGATGGGGTGGGGAGCAGATTCCAGAGCCCTACCCTGGGAAGTTCTGATTTGGAAAATCTTGAGTGTAGCCCTGGAAACTGTGTTTGATAAACTCTGGGGTGGTCCTGGGCCCTACTTTGGGCTGTCTCTCTTACCCCTTCTGACTTCCAGTGTAGTTGCTGACCAAAGAAGTCTTTAGGGCTTGATCCTCCTGGGGCTTCTCCTGAGACCTTGCCTGCCTCTTTCCTCAGGATGACCAGCTTCTGGATGATGGCAAGACACTGGGTGAGTGTGGATTCACCAGTCAGACAGCGCGACCGCAGGCCCCAGCCACTGTGGGGCTGGCCTTCCGAGCAGGTGAGAAGGGCAGCCAGGCAGGGTGGAAACAGCCAAAGAAAGAGATTGTCAGGGATCCTGCAGTTTTTCCAAGTCTCTAGGACAGTGTCTTCCCAGTATACAAACATCAGGCAATATCTTGTGACAATGTATTTATTTCCCTCACAAACAAAAAAAGAGAAGCAAACAAGATGCTTGAAGAAATGGAAGCCTAGTTCATGAAGGATTCAGAGATCCCTAGTCATGATACCAGGTTACCTTTACAGAGGACTTTTCCTTTTATTCCCATACCCCCATTCTCCTCTCTGGCAAATATCAGCTTGTTCTCTAGATCTGTTGTTGTTTCTGTTTTGTTTATTCATTTTTTTTTGTTTTGTTTTTATTTAAAGCGTTCATGGATGAGTGAAATCTTGGTATTTGTTTTTTCTCTGACTTACTCCACTTAGTTATTTGTATCTTCCATTTCTTCAATGTCTTCTGGTTCTCAAAGTACAGATCTTTCACCTCTTTGGCTAAATGTATTCCTGAGTATTTACATTTTTGAAGTAAATGGGATTGTTTTCTTAATTTCTTCTGATCGTTAGTTATTGGTATATAGAAATTCAACAGATTTTTTTTGTATTGATTCTGTATTCTGTGACTATACTAAATTTTTTGGTGAAGTCCTCAGGGTTTTCTTCATATAGTATCAGATCATTTGCAGACAATGAGAGTTTTACTTGTTCCTTTCCAGTTTGGATGCCTTTTATTTTTCTTGTGTGATTGCTGTGGCAAGACCTTTCAGTAGGTTGAATAGAAGTGGTGATAGGCGGCATTCTTGTTTGTTTTGTTCCTGATCTTAGAGGAAAAGCTTTCAGCCTTTTTTTTTTTTTTTTTTTTAATTGCCTACAGCACCTGGTATTCTCCCATCCAAGTACTAACCAGGCCCGACCCTGCTTAACTTCCAAGATCAGATGAGATCGGGCACGTTCAGGGTGGCATGGCCATAGAAGCTTTCAGCTTCTTAACTTGAAAATAAAAAGGAAGTCCTTTCAAAGTAAGAGACAAGAAGCATTTATTTGTGATGAAAAAAAAGCTATTTGGGAAGCTTTGATTCGTGCAGAAGCTCAAATAATGTTCTGATTAGGAGACAAAGGCAATGGGTATTTATAAGAAACAGGAGAACGATTATATCAATAGGAGGTATTTCTGTTGGTGCAGGTAACATACTGATGTTAATTCTAAACAATGTTTTTAATTTTCAGTCCAGTAGTCATAATAAGTGCTTTCTTGTTATCTTTTCAAACAGTTCTTTGGGGTACAATGCTGTTTTGGGTCCATTCCAAAGGTTATTTTGCCTTAACATTCCAAAGATTTGAAGTTTAAGACATGAAAGGCAGTTCCCCTGGCATGGCAGCTTTGGCTCCTTCTTACAGTGGCTCCATTTACTTTATTTTTGACAAGCTTTCACCATTGATTGTGTTATTAGCTGTGGGTTTGTCATATATAGCCTTTATTATGTTGAGATGTTTTTTCTTTACCCACTTTGTTGACAGTTTTTGTTATAAAAAGGTGTTGAATTCTTTCAAAATGCTTTTTGTGCATCTATTGAGATGATATGGTTTTTATGCTTTATTTTGCTAATGTGATGTATAGGTTGATTGGTTTACAGATGTGGAACCATCCTTGCATCCATGGTATGAATCCTACTTGGTCATGTTGTATAATCCTTTCATGTATTGTTGAATCTGGTTTGCTAATATGTTGTTGAGAATTTTTACATCTATGTTCATCAAGGATATTGGCATGTAATTTTCTTTTTTGGTGATGTCTCTGGTTTGGAATCAGGGTAATGCTGGCTTCGTAGAATGAGTTTAGAAGCATTCTTTCCTTTCAGTTTTTTGAAATAGTTTAAGAAGGATAGGTATTTATTATTATTTGAATCTTTGGTAGAATTCACCTGTGAGGCTATCTGGTCTTGGACTTTAATTTGTTGGGAGTTTTTTGGTTATTGCTTCAATTTCATTGCTAGAAATTAGTCTGTTTAGATTTGTGTTTCTTTCTGGTTCAGTCTTAGAAGGGTATATACTTCTAGAAATGTATCCATGTCTTCTAAATTGTTGAGTTTGTTGGCATATAATTGTTTGCAGTATTCTTTAATGATTCTTTGTATTTCTGTGGTGTTGGTTGTACGTTCTATTTCATTTATGATTTTATTTATTTGGGTCCTCTCTTTTTTCCTTGATGAGTTTGGCTAAAGGTTTGTAAATTTGGTTTATCTTTTCAAAGAACCAGCTCTTAGTTTTATTTATCTTTTGTATTGTTTTTTAAATTTCTATTTGGTTTATTTCTGCTCTGATCTTAATCATTTCCTTCTGTTTACTTTGGGTTTTGTTGTTCCTTTATGTTTAGAATTATATTGTTTATTTGGGAATGTTCTTGTTTTTTTAGGTAGGCCTATATTGCTGTGAATTTTTCTCTTAGAACTGCTTTTGCTGCATGCTAAGTATTTTGAGAAGTTGTGTTTTCATTATCATTTGTTTCAAAAGTTTTTGATTTTTTTTGTTTCATTTCTTCTTTAATACTTCTATTTAGTAGCCTGTTCTTTAGCCTCCACATATTTATGTTTTTTCCAGTTTTCTTCCTATAGTTGATTCTAGTTTCATGCCATTTTGGTTGAAAAAGATGCTTGATATGATTTCAGTCTTCTTAAATTTATTGAGGCTTGCTTTGCGGCCTAATATATCATCTGTCCTGGAGAATGTTGCATGTGCACTACGGGAAAAATGTGTGTTCTGCAGTTTTGGGTGAAATGCTCTAATAATATCTATTAAGTTGATCTGGTCTAATGTGACATATAAGGCAATTGTTTCCTTATTAGTTTTCTGTCTAGATGATCTATTTATTGATGTAGGTAAAGTATTAAAATCCTGTACTATTATTTTATTATTATGGAGTTTTTTCTTTATGTCCATTAATAAATTGCTTTATATGTTCAGGTGCTACTATTTTGGGTGAATAGATATTTATGATTGTTATATCCTCTTCTTGGATTGACCCCATTATAATTATGTAATGTCCTCCTTTGTCTTTTTTTTTTTTTTTTTACATTTTTTTAAAAGTCTTTTTGTCCGATATGGGTGTTGCTACCCAGCTTTCTTTTCATTTCTATATGTGTGGAGTACCTTTTTCTATTCCTTCACTTTCAGGCTGTATGTGTTTTTCAATTTGGAGTCTTGTAAGCAGCATATAGATGGGTCATGTGTTTTTAATACATTTAGCCACCCTACTTTTATGGGAGCATTTACTCCATTTCCATTTAAAGTAATTGATAAGTATGTACTTATTGCCATTTTGTTGTTTTTTGGTTGTTTTTATAGTTGTCTGTTCTGTTCTTCTCTGGAACTCTTCCCTTGTAGTTTGCTGTTTTTCTTTAGCGTTTTCTTTGGGTTCCTTACTCTTTGTTCGTTTGTGTATTTTTTGTAGGTTTTTGGTTTCCGGTTACCATGAGGTATATGTATATCACAGCAGTCTATTTTAAGGTGTTTAAGTTCAAATGTATTCTGTAAGGACTATATTTTTATTTCTCCACGCTTTATGTTATTGATGTCATGGTTTACATATTTTTGTGTTGTACATCCTCTACTTATTGTAGTTTGAGTTGTTTGATACCTTTTTTTAACTTTCGTAGTAGCTTTTGATATGTGTTTTGCTGCATTTACTAACATTTAGCTTACCTGTGAGATATTTTTTCCTTCATATTTTCTTATTTCTGGTTATGGACTTTCCTTTTCTGCTTGAAGAAGACCCTTTAATGTTTCTTGTAAAGCTGGTATAATGGTGATGAACTCCTTTAGTTTTTGCTTGTTTAGGAAACTCTATTTCTACTTCAATTCTGAATAACCCTGCTGGGCAAATTATTTTAGATTGTAGCTTCCTTTTTTCAGCATTTTAAAGATGTCCTGTAAAGTTGCCGCTGAGAAATCAGCTGATAGCCTAATGGGGTATATATAATTCATTGTTTTCCTCTTGCTTCCTTCAAGATTGTCTCTTTAATTTTTGCCATTTTAATTACAGTAGATCTTGGTTTGGGTCTCTTTGGAACTCTTGTTTGGAACTGTTTTTTTCCTGGACCAGGATGTGTTTCCTTTCCCAGGTTAGGAAAGTTTTCAGCCAGTTCCTTTCTCTTTCTTCTCCTTCTGGGATCCATATAATTTGAATGTTTGAGCACTTGGTGTTATCCCAGAGGTCCCTTAAACCATCCTTGTTTTTTAAATTCTTTTTGCTGTTTTGATTGGTTGATTACTTCTAGTTTGTATTATAGGTTGCTAATCCATTTTTCTGTATTAGCTTCAGTAATTATATTCTTCAAGTCTACATGTTTTTTTTTTTTTTATTATATCTTATAACTCTTTGTTGAAGTTCTGAGTTCCTCTATTCCACTCTCAAGTTTGGGGTGCATCCTTATGACTTTATTTGAATTCTTTATCTGGCAAATTACTTGTCTCCATTTCCTTAGGGTTTGTTTTTTTTTTTTCATTCATTTAAGAGATATTTTTCAGCCTTTTATTTTGTTTGACATTCCATGTTTGTTTACATGAATAAGATAAAATAGCTGTCTATCCCAGTCTTGTAAAAGTGGCCTTAAGTAGGCTGTGTGTGCTGCGTGGTTTTGGCAGGTTGGCAGGAGGCACCTGGGGCACTGGCTGACTGAGCCAGAGTGGTTTTTGGTGGGAAAGTGCGTATAGTGATGCCCTGTTGATCCTGCTTGCTCCTTTTGTTCAGGGTTGAAATGGGCTCAGGTGGTGTCTAGGTACACACTGCAGGGACCTTGCAGGTGGGCCAGAGCACCTTGCCCACCCTGTGGAGGTGTGGAGGGTGACGTAAACAACTGCAGGGAAACAACTGTGGTGCCTCCAACCTTGTAGAATTCCCAAATCTCTGGAGAGCTCCAGTGGCTCCCCACCATTCTCTATAGAGTCTCTCTTTTGTTCGTTGTACAGAAAGTGGTCTAGTGCAGAAGTGATATATGTGTAGGCTTTCACCTGGGGTGCTGCCCAGTGGGGGCTGGAGTGGCTCCTGGCAGGGAGGCCAGCTGTTTGTGGTGATGCCCTGTTCCTGCTTGTTCTTTGTTGGGAGGCAAAAGACTGGGTAGCCAAGAACACCCAGTGGTGATCCCGCAGGTAGGCCAAAGCATCTGTGAAGAGCTCCCTACTCTGTCAAGTATAGGAAATGTAAATAATGGTGCTCACTGGCTCTTCTGAGAAGAGTTCCCACAGCTCTCAGAAGGCTACTGTGGCTTCCCAGCATTGCTTCTCAGCTTTCTCT